AAATCAAGTAAATGTCCTTACCAGGTGAGATTTTAAAGACAACATTGACGTCTCAGGCCCAGGGGCAACCAGGCAAACAAGACAAGATGTGGTTCTTGCCTGCGGTCACACCATGAAGCTTTCCCTCCTTTCACTCAACGTGTTGACAGTCCTTTAAAAGCAAGTATCTCTAGTATGAATAAAACCGTAATTTCTTCTCAAATATTTACACCTCAGCGTGACTGAGTTAACTAGTTGCTCCCCTGACGAGTCAGAGAGAAAGGCGTTGGAGGCCCAAGGGTGAAGAAAGAGAAACGTATGCGTGTTTGTGCGTGGGTGCACGTCTGCGTGTGGGGTGGGGGGAGTTGTAGGGATGTAGGGGAAGGAGTGAAGCGGCATCAGCGGAACTGCATTGTCTTTTCCATATTAGACGAACTCCCGGCCACATACCCAGTGCTGACACATGGGGGCGCACAATAAATATTATCACGAACGATTCTGGCGCTCCCTCCAGACAAGCTGGCTGTTAGGAGGTGGGAACTTGCTTCAGAAAAAGCTGTTAGCGTCCTGCCGCCCACGCACGCAGGAAGGCGCAGCCGGGAGTGGACGCAAGTTCTGGGAAGCCAGAAGATCGCAGCGGATCCCACGGCTCGCTCGCCGGGCTCGGCCTCGGCAGAAGGTAACTCAAGCGGATGAGGACGCCGAGTCCCCCACCCCCACCCCCGGAGGGCGCGAACCGCACAGACTGGGGTCACGGGTCTGGCTGTGGGAACTGGGGACCGGAACTGATGCGCAGACCCAAGTCGAGGTGTAGACTGGGGGCTGCAGCGGGAGGGGCGAGGGGGGTCTCTCACGAGCGCCCCATCATCGAGCGCCGCGAAGTCTGCGGGGCGCGCTCTTCAGTTTACCTGGCCCGGGACACTGCGTGCGGCAAGTTTGCAGAGCGCGCTCTCCGGATCACTCTGAGCGCTGCCAGTTATGCAGAATGTGCCGGGGACTGTGAGCGCGGCGGGGAGATCCCATAGATCTCTGCAAACTTTACCCAGCACGCTCTCCGGTGCGCGGCCAACTTTGCCAAGGGTGGTCTCTGGGGACGATGCGCTCAGGGGCCCGGGCCGCTTTGCGCGCGGCCAGCTTTGCAGAGTGCATCACCAGTCTTGCAGAGGGCGCCCTCCGGGGACCGTGCGCACGACACTCGAGCGCAACCAGATGTGCAGGGCGCGCTCTCCCGCGACGGTGGGAGCGGCGGCGCGGGATATTTTGAGCGCGGCCAACTTGGCGACCGCACCATTGCGAGCCAGGGGCGGCGCACGCAGTCCAGCCCCGGGCGACTCCTCCTCCTGCAGCGCTGGGGCTTGTACTTTCGCTTTTGTTTTGGTGGCTCCAGGCTCTAGCCGCAGTGGGACAGAGAAGGTCGCAAGCTCGGGCCGGCCGGCCACCGTGGGAACGGTAACTTCGGGCCCTCCCCTCCGCTTGCACTTCACCCGCCGGTCCGCGGCGCGCTTCCTCCCTCCCTACCGCGCCCTGCTTCCCCCTCCGCCGCCGCCTGGAGCACAGTCTGCGGGGAGCCGGGTCCTGTGACGCTGGGCTGCCCAGACGGCCTGCGCTGAAACTGGGGAGAGGGTTGTCAGCGCCTCCATCCTCGCTTGCTTTGCTCATCTTGTCCTCCCTTCCCTCCTAGCCCGCTGGCTTGGGACAGCCGGTGCTATTCGGCATTTGGAAGAGAAGGAGAGGTGGATTTAGAAGGGAAGGAGGGGTTTGTTATCTTGCATGGCTGACAGCGAGGGCTCCCGCGTCACACAGCCCTGGGTTCCATTCCCGCGTCCTTGCTGGTCAGCTGTGGGGCCTTGGTCCTCTCTGCCTGTCTGTTCAATGGGAATGTAGTGATCCCAGGCTGACGGTGGCTGCGAGGAGAGAAGGAGGTGATTACGGTACATAGCAGTGCCTCCGTCAAGGCTTAGGACGCGTGAGCTGCTGTCATCGTTGTTGGGGTACCCTTGTGCGGGGCTCTTGAAGATTCCTTGAGGAAATGAAAAAAGGCGGGACTCGCAGGCTTCAGGCGGCCTTGCAACCTTTCACCGTTGTATTCAAATTTGCCGTTTAGGGGGCAGGCCTTTTCCCTTGAATTCCTGGACTGGCCAAGGAGGTGGCTCTAACCTTTGTTGATTTACAGGCCATTTCATCCTTCAGGGTCTACAGCCTGACCTTCATCCTCCATAGGCAGCCACCGCCTAGGTTCATAATCCACCTCTGTTTCCTGTTAGCTGTGTGGCTTTGGACGGATTACTTAACCTCTCTGAAGAAACAAAAGTTTCTTCTGCAACACAGAGTAAAGGCTCCAGCCTCCTAGTGAGCATCAGGTGACAGTGGGGTCCTTGAGTGCCCAGCAGAGCCCGCTCCTCCTCCAAGTGCTAGAGGTGAGAGGTGGAGGTCCTCAGGGCTTCTTCTCTTTGAGCCTTTTAGGAAGATCATCTTCACTGGGGCAAGAGTGGGGTGCAAGTAGCATCGTCTTCACTGGGGCAAGAGTGGGGTGCAGGTTGTATTCTGTCACTTTGCAGGGGAAACAGCTGCAATGAGCCCATCCCCACCCCCCAAGAAAAAAAAAGTTCAGACAGTAGCTGAGAAGTGATTTCCTACCAGATGTGTGCCAGTCACCAATTAAACATGTTTAAAAATAATCACTAGAGGAATTTTTTTTTCCAACTCCACAAAGGCTGCTTAAAATATGAATGTGGTTTAAAAATATTGGTGAAGGTTGACAGCTGAGTTTTCTTGGTCTTGAGTTCTGTGGACAGTGGTAACAGTAGGGAGTATTTACTGAAGGTTCAGAATGTGCTACACTGTGTTTAGCATTTTACACATATTGTTCCATCCATCAGCCACCTGTGACTGAGGCTTCATTGTTTTCCCATTTCACGGATGAGAAAACTGAGGCTCAGGAAGTTGAGTACTTTGTTCAAGGTCCCCTGGCTAATAGTGGAAAAGCCAATTGAAGCCCAGATCTGCTGTTGGCATGACTGGGCTGTTCGCCACCCTCCTGGGGCCCTTTAGTTCTGTTATCTGTCCCATATCCACAGTTTATTCAGGGCACTGAAGGATGTAAAAATTATAAGTACATTTCAGTTATAACGTTCACAAAGAAATATTTATTGTGTGTCTGCTGTGTACCTGGCATTTTTCTGTGACTGGAAAAAAAAAATGATTAAAATAAGCTCTTGGGCCAGCCTGATGGCACAGTGGTTGGGTCTGGTGTGCTCCGCTTCAGCAGCCCGAGTTCGAGGGTTCAGATCTCAGGGGCAGACCTACAGCACTCGTCCCCCACACTGTGGCAGTGACCCACATACAGAGTGGTGGAAGATTGGCACAGATGTTAGCTCAGGGCTAATCTTCCTTAGCAAAAAAAAAAAAAAAGCTTTCAAATAGAGTCCTTAGTGGATAGTAGTAGGAATAAGAATAAGAATAATGAGTGACAGAGTGTTTACATAGAGTGCCAGGCACTGTTAATGCTCTATGTGTATCCTATATTAATTCATGTAAAGCGAAGATAGACACATTTAACAATTGAATTAGCAATATCCCTTGAATGACTAGACTTGCTGCAGCCTGAGCCCCACCAAGGGGCTGAATACAAGAAAGTAATGCTGCCGTGCCCTCCACAGGCACAGCAGAGCAGAGATAGGCCTGGATTTTCTGGGTGGGCTGTGAGAATGAGTGGAAGTAAGAGGTCAACACCGATCCTTGGCTTAACTCAAATGATGTGACCAAGGTCAGGCACCCCATTCGGTCACCACCCTTGTTCTGGGTGGACTTGATTTCACCCAGAAGTCACACTCAGGCTCCTAGGAATAAGAAAGTCCCTGAATGTTTAGTTAGCCTTACAAATTTAAAAGAGTAAAGTCCCACCGCACGGACTTGTCTCAGACATATGCTCTGGCAGGTTGTTGGAAGGGACACTCGCCTCCCCCCTAGACAGTGTCAACCCAGACAGATGCTGTAGGTTTCAAAAGGAAGACCCTTCTGGCCTAGTGTTTGGAGGGAAAGCTCTGGAAAGCCTCCCACCATTAAGCCGTAGAAATCAGCCAGAACTCTGCGTCTCTGCAGCTCAGTCCAAAACCCCCTGAGGTGGCCGGGAAGGATGCGGAATTTAAGCTGCACCACTCCCTTGATGGAGCGTGTCATATGTTTAGTGAGTGTGTAGTCCCCTCTGCCTGCCTTGCGCCGCCCCGCCCCACCCTCTCTGCTTCCCCTTCTGTGATCTCAGGTCAGACATTTCCTCCCCTGAGAACCTTCCTTAATTCAGTGAGGCTCAGTCGGGTCCCCTGGTATGGCCACACACTGGTCGTCCTCGTGCCACTTGCCAGAGTTGCAGCTCGACATTGGTGCCATCTTTTTATCAACACCTGTCTCCCAACAAGGCAGGACCCCCAGTTCACAGATGTATCCCCGGCTCCTAGCACAGGGCCTGGTGCCTTAGACTTCCAGTAAATATTCATGGAGTAAATGGAGAGGAGCCTCCAGAATTCTTCTCAGCAGTCCCAACAATATTAAATGTGTAGCTTTCTTAGGAGCCGTTTTGCTTAGGGTCGTCCTTTTCAAAAAAATAATGGTCACATTGTGAATCATACATCCTAGATTCAGCCTTTAAGATTAGCGCTAGCGAAAGGCTCAAGGCTTAAACACCACATGTTGAAGTTAGATTCTTTTTCTGGTGGATTTTGTATAACTTCAACTTGCTAATTTTGAAACGATTTCAGTGCTTAGCTAACCACAATCCACGCTGAAAGGTAACTTGGTCTATATAAAGGAAGTGAAATAAAAACTATTGAGCATTTCTGCGTGCTTGGACTTGATTATTTCTGCCAGGGATGGGGTTATCTCTGTTTTCGAGAAACATTTTGTGTCCTAATCTGAAAAATCTAACTACTTCCCAGCCGGAAACATGTTGGTGGCGATGGTGGAGGGTACATGGTATGTTGAGAAACAAGACGGCCGCCTGACTTCTCAGGGTCACTGTAGAGATCTTGGGGGGACTCTCCCTCCCTCTCAGTTCGCTTCTCACTGCCCAGCTCAGCTCTAAGGTAAGCTGCAAGGTGACGTGATAAATCCACTCAGAGCTCAAGGCCGCTAGGTCGGCGCTTTGCCATCTTGGACACCTTCCCCCAAGCTGGATTCCTTCTCCTCCACACCTCAGAAAGTCATTACTTGTGCTCTGGGGCACAATGTGTTCTGTCAGATGCCTTCTTGTTTTCCAGCTGAGTGAAGACACCCCTGGGTGAGCCTCACGGGAATGCAGACCTGCACCTGCCAGCTGTGGCCCCGTCTGTGCCCTGGCTCACAGCAGAGAGTCTCGAGAGGTTTCCCTTTGTTGCTGAAAGCCGATCCCTTCATGGGAAAGGAAACAGGACTCCATTTAGGAGAAATGACTCTAGTCCAGGCTCTGCTTCTGACTCACTAATTCTCTTCCCTTGGGCGTTGTTTCTTCCCGCTTTCCATTCAACTAATATTTATTTAGTAAGCACCTTGTGTGCCAGGCGCTCTGCTGTGATGAACTTACATTGTCAGGTTTGAGCCAAGCAGTAAGCAGAGGGCAGATACACAAGACATAAAAGGGCTGTAAAGGGCATGGGGGGAAAAGGGGAGCTGGTGAGATGGGAGTAATCAAGGAGGAACTCCCTGCAGAGGTGCCATTTAAGCTGAAATCTGAAGATTGAGAATTAGCCAGCTGGGCAAAGATGGCACGTCCAGCAAACAGTGGTGACTTCCGGAAAGAGGGACCCAAGAGCCCTGAAGGAGCCTGAAATGAGCATACTGTGCCCAAGGACACTGGAAGTGTGCCCTAGAGAGCTGGAAGGCTGAATGGTGTGATGGTAAGGGGTGGGCTCTGGACTACCTGTTGCTGGCTTCAGAACTGAGTCCTACTGTTTACTAGTTATGTGGCCTGGGACAAGGTAGGTAACCTTTTCTAGGCTCAGCTTCCTCATCTGTCAAAAGGCGGTGATCATAGGGCTGATGTAACAGCATTATTGGAAGTACTAATAAGGTAGTGCTGGGGCCCGCCCGGTGGTGTAGCGGTTAAGTTCGTGCGATCCACTTTAGCGGCCCGGGGTTCGCAGGTTCAGATCCCGGGCGCGCACCTACGCACAGCTCATCAAGCCATGCTGAGGCTGCCTCCCACATGGAGCAACTAGAAGGATGTACGACTGTGACATACAACTATCCACTGGGGCTTTGGGGAGAAAAAAGGAGGAAGGTTGGCAACAGATGTTAGCTCAGGGCCGATCTTCCTCAAAAAAATCAATGCTCTCATTTATTTAAAAAAAATAAGATAGTGCTTACAAAAAAATTAGCACAGTAAATACTAAATGTGAGTTTCTATTCTTATTATTGTTATTTTTACTCCGTAATGTAGAGGGAGTCGTAAGTGAGTAGGGGATCCTGTTGGCTGGTGTTTGTCCTACATCAGGGGACATGCCTTTTTTGTAAAGGGCCAGGTAGTAAATATTTTAGGCTTTTCGGGATATGGTCTCTGCCGCAATTACTCAACTCTGGTTGTGTCAGGAAAGCAGCCATAAGTAATACATAAATGAACAGGTGTGGTTGTATTCCAATAAAACTTTATTTACAAAAAAGTAGTGGGCCATAGTTCATTGACTCTAGTACATGACAATGAAGAACCTTAAAATCCAAGGAGATGTGTTTTGATTTGAACTTTTACGTCGTAGAGATCTCTTGAAGATTGTTGAGCAGGAAAATAATTTGATGGAAATCTGTTTTGGAACCATGTAAAGTCATCTGAAACAGAAAGAGAGCTTTGTCCCCCTGGTTGCTGCTGTTTTTGAACTGGGTCTGAGCGATGCCACGCCAAGGATGAGCGCCTTATAACCTGTGAGCAGTCTAGGGGGAGTTTCTTCTTGTTACAAACCTTGACAGATCTTCCACAGCTTCTCGTACGCCGTGAACGTTTAACAAAATTGTGGATGCTGGATTAGAAGCTTCCTGAGGGCAAGGACTTTGTTTTCTTCTCTTCTGTGTACCCAGTCTCTGGACCAATGCCTGAAATAGAGTTGGCGCTCAGGCGTTTGGAGAAATTGTTGGTGCAGTAGCCCTGGAGGCTGAATATGGAAGGCTGCTCACCTCTAGGCTTAACGAAAAACTGTTGTCACCTAAGGAGGGTTCTTTAAAAATATCACGAGGCCAATGATACCAATGGATACCAATTTTCTGGTTTGTTTTTTTTCCTTCCAGATGGCAGATGATCAACACTGTGTTGTGGAGCAAGGCGCTGGGGATTCAACAAGCGAAGATGCAGTTGATGCTAAGCCAGACCGGTCGTCCTTTGTCCCATCACTCTTCAGGTAAGTCTCCTTCCTTTCTGGGTTAAAGAGGGGCCCTGGGCCACTTCTGCCATCTCCACCCACCCAGGGGGATGGGTACATTCAGAGAAGGAGGTCTATGCTGTGCTTGGGAAATTTGCATAGAATCCTGCCAGCTGTATATGACAACACTAGGGTCCCCGTGCACTCCTGTGTCTCTGGGGCAAGCCCAGGTGTAGGGGGAACCAATCTATGGGGGTCTCCTGCTCGGCAGCTGCACATCTGGGTGGCAGCTGCCCAGGAGTGAGGGGTTGTCCTCATCAGAGGTGATTTGCAGCCAGCCTCCTTGGGGCAGAGCATGGGCTGCTGCTGCCAGTTGGAGCTAGGCTTGGCTGAAAGGCAGAATCTGGGAGCTATGGGATGGGAGGTTTGGGGTGGTACTCCATTGAAGGAGGGAGCATCGTGTCTACTGATTCCCACCTTTTCTTGAGTTCACTTTTAAAATTCTAAATTTTACATTTAATAATAATAATAGCTTCATTTATTCAACTCTTGCATGCCAGCTCAGTATTGCCTGTAGTCCTCATAATCCCAGGAGGTGGTTCTGTTGTTATCACCATTTAGGAGGTAGGGAAACTGAGGCACTAAGAGGTTTAACAGCGTGCCTTTGTGATAACTGTTAATAAATGGTGAAGCTGAGATTGGAGCCCAGCGGTACCAGTGCCACTCACTTAACAGCTCTGTTGTGCTTTCCATTTAAAAGTAGGGCTGCAGGGATATGGAGGAGTCCCTCACCTCCCCTTAACCTTGGTCTTGGAGGGGCGGTTGGTGTGGCTTCCTGGCAAGAGACAGGAGTGGTTTGTGGGTCAGAAGCATCAGACTTCTTGGTATCTCCCAAGCCAAGCCCCACATGGGAGGGACAGTGATGGGGATAAAGGTTGAGGTTAAGGAATGGTCCCAAGCAGTGCTCAGGAGGGGAAAGGCTGGTGATGAGGGGCGGCCTGGCTCCCTGCAACATCCCAGAGAGGGCCTTGGGTCATATCCTCCCAAACAAGACTCGGAAACAGGGGAAGACCCCAACATCCTGGACCCTTTGGCGTTGGTTGCCTTTTAGGGTCAAGAATACCCAATGAAATAACCAGAAAACACAACTCCAACTCCTGACAACTTTTCAAAACCGTGAGGTCAGTTGGTCCAGGCTAGTCCACTCCCCAGTGCAAGCCCTTTATTTAGAGCAGTGGCCTTCAAATGTTTTTGTTCACATACCCCCAAAATAGTATAAAACTACACACCCCTTGTACATTTTAAGGTGACATAAATTTCTTGTCAAAATAGTTGCAAAGAATGTAATAATATTTCAGTTTTCTCAGCTCTCTGAGTATCTGAGTTACGCAGGTTGCTTCTAAGTGAAAGAGAAACAGGAATTGTGTAATAGTGGTTTCATGAATCTTAGCAAAGCCTCTTGGTGTACTTCCCAGAAATTATGAAAATTAATGGTGTGTTGTAAATATGGACATTTAAAAATCATCTCTTTAAATGTATCCAATGGAATCTAAATTCACAGTAAACCACCATTATCCATTAAAAATGTACATAAACAAGTTCCCCTTTAACAGCTAGAATTTTTATGTTGTTTCTTTTTCCGAAACCCTGAACTTGTTTTTTTTAATTCTATTTCCCCCCACAACATTTTATTCTGATGTTATAGATTTAGTTCCTTGAAAGTCTTTTATTGATCACCTCATTATACATCTCTGTAACATATATGTGTGTGCATATGTACATAGCATAAATTTTAAGAAATTTTTACAGGTATTATGAGTATTAAAAGAAATTTCTTTTATACTAAGTTACTATTAATTTCTTCTAGATTAGGTTACTATTTCAGCCATTATTAATTCACAGTTGATCCAAACAAATAAATATTGATAAATCATTTGTACTATTAAATTGTTATTCATCAAAATAATTATTAAATTAAAATAGCAACTTATAATGGACTGGGCCTTTAAAAAGCGAGTTTATGAATAAATGGACAAATAATACTTATTGCTAGAATAAGAAAGAGTTCAGTGTCACCTCTTTTTCCCATTTTTTCATTTTTAGAGATAGAAGCACTAAGAAACCATGAATAAATACATGGGATGGCAGGAGTTTTGTTATAATAAAGTCACTTAATTATTTGAATTCCTTCCGTAGTTCTCTGCCAAAAATGACAACTCAATTAGGTCATTCTTCAGTTTTATTGAAAATAAAGAATTGGAAATTACCTGACTTGGAAAAGGAATTGTTATTCAGCCCTTAGAGACATTTATTTTTTCAGTTTCTGGGAAGTATACCAAAAAAGGCTCTATCAGAACTTCTCAACTGTTAATTAAATCTGTTCCTCTTTTTAGAGGCAACTTTTTTAACCCAAAATACTCCAACAGACATAAGATGATTAAAGTGGCATTAATAAACATTTGTCAGCATCCTTTTTTTGGTAAAGTGCTTTTAAACTATATGCTTTTTAAAATATAGGTTTGTTAAGACCTTGGAGCTGGAGATATAGCTCATTGATTTATGGAAAATGTCTGCTGTGTATTCTAGTTGACAAAGCCAGTCCTTGTCAAGCCATCAGCCGTAACAGACTTGCTTTCAATCGGAAAGGTCTGATACCATTTTTCAGTTCAATCAATGTGTTATTAGGCATCCCTGTGACAACCATCTTGGTTCTGAATTCTAATTCTTGGATGGATGGATGGGTGGATGGGTGGGTGGATGGGTGGATGGGTGGGTGGATGGGTGGATGGACGGACGGACGGACAGATGGATGGGTGGATGGATGGAGGATGGGAAGTGAGAGAGGGAAGGTGTTTACCTCATTGAATCAGTGTTTGCTTTGCTTTCACAGGGACTCTAGCTCCAAAGTGATAGTGTCTTTGGGAATAATCAGGGGGTAAAAGAGCCAAAGTCATTATACAAGAGCCACATCACTCCTGCTCCATTTTACTATATACTGTTTTCAATATATAATGAATTGGGAACAGCCCAGTGTGGCCCCAATAGCCCCATTTCTAATCTCATCCTTTACCCTTATCAGACTCTTGTGGAATCCACCACAGTGGTGGATTCAAGGAGACTCACGGATGCTCATATTTGAATTGTCCCTTTGTTAGATGATGTGGAGGTTTCGGCATCCTCTAAGGTGGATGAGAAGTCTACTCTTCTGTTATATAGTGGGAGATGGGAGACTGGGAAAGGGGAGGTGGTATCTCAGGCAGACCAGTTTTAGGAAAAATACAAATGGAAGTTGAGAATCCAGTCAGTCATTCCCTTAAAACTGTCTGTGTCTGCACCCCTTAGAAAGTCTTCGAATAACCTGTTTGACGACCTCTGCCTTAAAGACCCGTCATTTTGCAAAAGTAGATGTGATCTGTGATGTGGGGTTTTTTACCACCGTAAGTCCTTTGGAAAGGTAACTAAGCCCGGATAGTCTTCTGTATTCTGGTACACTATACCTTTTTTATAGCATGGCTGATGTTGACATCAACCTTCATATTATCAAAAGAAACTAAGTATCCTTGCAAAATATTTAAATTAAATTCCGTTTTCTGAACTGCTTATTTAGGTTGTATGAATTGTAAGACATGATTGTTGAATTATTAAATGATATTAAGCTACAATAAATGACAGTGTAATGCCTTATTCTTCCAGGCTGTGAAATGTTAGCTGTTACTTTCTCTGCCTTCGCTAGGCATCTGCCTGGTACCCAGGTATTAGATGATACACTGGCTGCCTCCCAAGGAGGCAGTCAAATCGAATAAAATTCAGTCAGGATTTGTGACGTACCCTTAAAATTTAGCTTTTTCCTTCCATTTTTTTACTTCAGTAAGATAGAAAGTTCTTTCATCTAGTAAAGTAACACCGGCTTTAAAATTAACCACTTGAGATGCCATTTTGGGTCACTAATTAATGGTTTCATTCATTCATTAAATATTTATGGAGCGACAGAGAGAAGTTAAGTCCCTTGCACCAAGTCGTGGTGGAGCCAGGATTTGAACCTGCGTTCACTTGCCTGTCAAACCGAGCTCTCACCCATGATTCTGTTGCTGCCTCTATGTGCCAGCTTCTGTGTCTGGGAACAGGATCAACAGGATCGACATGGCCCCTGCCTCAGACCCATTCTTATAGGGAAGGCAGACATGAAAAGAATAATTGAGATGTGATGGTGCTGGAAAGGGGCAGAGTGGGGCGCTGGGGGAGAATAATTAAAAAGGGTACCTCACCTGGTCTTGGGGGTCAGAGAAGGCCCCTTGGAGCCATGGTGTGTGTGCTGAGCCTTGATGGGGAGTTAGGAGGCTGATGGAGGGGACGGGTGCATGAGGTCTGGCATCATTCTAGCTGGGAGGAAGATGGGATGTGGAGGGACAGCAGGAGAGGAGAAGGGGATAAATGGACAGGGGCCGGATTTTAGAAGGGCTTGTCTGAGGTCCCATTAAGGATTTGGAATTAATCCTAAGGACAGGGAAGTCATTAAAGGGTTTAAGAGGTAGACTGACTTGATCAATTATATCTACAAAAAAACAAAAAAAAAATACAAGATCCAAGCTGCAGAGTGGAAGAGAATGCGTGCAAGAGGGGCACTGTGGGCAGGGAAGCGAGTTAGGAGGCTGCTGCACTGCTCCAGGTGAGAGTGGGTGGTTTAGGTGGGAGCGGGACCCGGGCAGGTGGAGGGAGCGGCCGGACTGCGGAGGTGCCTGGGAGGTAGAGCAATAGGACTTTGTGTCCAAGAGGAAGAAGAGGCTGAAGAAGGGAGAGCCGGTGAAGAATGTGGCACCTGGACCGCGGGGACTAGTTGAAGTCGTCTAGTAACCACTGAGCCGCTTTGCCAGAAAAAGGGGTAATGACATTTATATTTCTATTGTCAAGATGACAGAACAGCGCCAGCCTGTGCCGCCTCTCCTTGTTCCCCTGGACGTTCCTGCTGCCTTGGCTTTGCTGACCGAGACCTCATGGGAAGCTTGGATGGGGTCAGGACTTCATATATAATGGGATGAGAC